TTATCCACTGAGACCCTGGGAATAAAAAAAGCAACAGATTGAAGAAAAAAAACCCAAGTCTGAGCCCAAGAAATGAATGTGTTTTATCTTAATGAGGTTCCTTGTCTTTGAAAGGGACTGTATGAAAAAAAAAAAAATCAAACTGGTCTTGAAGTCACCCAAAGCTTTGTGATTTCGCTTCTTGCTGTGGAGAACCCATGCTATTTCTGGCCCCTGCATCCTCCCAGAGAGGAGGCAGAGAATGTTGTAGCTGTAATTGTGTTTGACTTGCTGCCTAGAAGGAGTCTTTAAAATCAAGACATGCAGAAGAAGGGCAAGAGTCTTCCTTGGATTCTGACGCTGCCTGCCCTCCGACTCCAGTTGAAGTCCTTCCCGGAGATGCTGACAGTAGCCTGTCTGGCCAGAGCAAGGAGGAGTCTGACGGGAGACTCGCTGGGAGTGAACTACTGGGCAGGAAAGATGCTGAGGTGGAAGGTGACATCTCTGCAGCTGATGAGCTGCCCCAGTCTCTGGAGGAAAGGAGCGCAGCAGGGACGGATGTGCCCAGCGGTCCTGGCCAGCCTGGAGCTGCATCTCCAGCTGCTGAAGCCGCTGAGGCAGATCGGCCGGCAAGCCTGGCTGCCACCGTCGACACCGTGTCTGTTGGTGCAAAGCTAGTGAACGAAGTGGGGGAAGAAGCAGCAGCTGATCTGCAAACAGACAGCAAGCTGGATGCTGGCAAAGTAAGAGCCTGGCTGCGTTGGTTGGGTTCGGTGTGCAAGCTGCTGTGGCTGTTGCGCTGCTGTGCAGGGCCCTGATTCAGGAGAGCAATTCCAGCGCTTGCTGATTTTCTGCAGAGTCAGCGTGAGCACTTTCCTAATCCACTGGGTGTTCCTGGGAGGGGCACAAGTGCTCTGCACTCCCGGGTGGGCAGAGCTGGGAAATCATCCCTTTGTCACACACAAAGCCCTGTCCAAAGCAACCGGCAGGCAGAAACCCTGAACCGTGACGTGCCGCGGGTTTGGAGTCTTGGAGGAGAAATGTCTCAGCTTTCGGTGCTGCCATCTGCACTAAGCAGGCAGGTTTTGTAATGAAGTTCACACCAAGCCCAGCTGTCCGTGCTGCTTTGTGTCGCTCCTTCTGCTGTTTCTCACAGCTTAGGCAGAGATGGGGCAGCAGCGTCGAGCTGCCAGCTGTGATATCCGCAGCTCCACGCAAGGATGTGCCAGGGAGCTGCGAGGTCAGAGCGGGGAAGGACGGTACCTCGGGGCTGGCTCTGGAGCTGTAGCTCGAGTCTGCTGAGCACAGTGCCTTCCAGTCTGCACACTGCTCTTCCAGCCCTCTCTGGGAGGAGACCTGGCAAAAAGCAGGCAGCTCAACCAGCGTATTTGCTTGTGCAGTCGCTGGCAGGAGAAGAGCCATGAAGTGTCACACGGTGCAGATGGGTTCATGGACTGGTCCCTGCAACTGGGGTGCCAGACAGACCATCCACCACCCACTCTTGTTTGGTGTCCTTCAGACACGTGACAATATGAGCGCTGAAAAGTGATCTCTTTCCAGTCTAGCTTCCTTCCCGCTGATTTTGATGATTTTTCCAGTTCCATTGCTGTGTAATGTCTTTAAGAAATGACAAGGTATAAAACTGAGCCTGGAAGTCACGCTCTGTCCTGAAGAGCTGAGAGTTGAAAGCTTTGCTTTTGCAGACTCTTACCTGCATGCTTGCTGTACGTGCCTGGGTTCTTCTGCTGAGGTCAGCTGGGAACCTGGGCATTCACACTGAGCAGCAGGCACGTTTATTTCACGATGGCTGGGAGCACAGGAGTCCTTGCTGCAGTTAGGTGGACACGGCATGTCTGCCTAAGATCCTGGTGCTGTTCTGTGTGGCTTCATCCATTTGCATGGTAGCCTGGGGAGCTGCAGAGATCCTTGCAGAAGGAGCAGAGGACAGTAAGAAAGTGCCCTTTTATCAGGAATATTTGAAGAACACTTCTCTGCCCTCCCCAGTCCCATCTCCTACCCCTGCCCTCCTTCCCCAGCCCTTTCTCTGTGAAGGAGTGTGTTGTGCTTGTTGTGTGGGTCACACCCTTAGTGTCTTTCCTGTGGTGTTCAGTCACCTTTTCTTCCTGATGTGATAGAGAGGCCAGATTTGTTTTCCCAGTGTCAGTTGCCATCTTGTTGGGAATGGTGAAGCTGCAGGGGTAAGGCATGTACAGGATGTAACACACATCTCCTCACAGCTTTCAAAGGCATCCAAGACCAGTGACTGTGGGGAGGACCTGCAAGTCTCTAACAGCTCAGACTGCGAGCTGATTCAGCCTACGGTGAGTCACTAAAAGCTCCTTGTCCCTTGGCTGTGGGTTTCACCTCCCTCTGGGAACACACAGGCAGTTAATGCTTTGCCCACCTCCTGCAGTCCCACTGCCCAACTCTTTAACTGCTCAGCAATGACCTTACAGCCGTGGCACGGGCCAGCAACCTCGTCCTGTGCTTAGCAGGTTCTGTCTGTGGCTGAGGTAACATCCCTGGAAAAGTAGGTCACTTAGAGCTGGGACTGTCTTCAGATAATTGCAAAAAGGAAAACAATAAGTGATGTAAAAATTATGCTTTGAGGGTCTCAGCAGCTTTTTCTAAGGGGAGCCTGTATGGCTGGGAGACGTGGCTCCTGAAGGTCCCGGAGGGAGAACAGGCAGGAGGGTAGCCTTGAGATGGGGGGAGATGCCCATCAGCATCTCTTCATCTCCACAGGAAACTGCCATTGCCATCTGCCAGTGGGAGCAGAGGCAGCAGGGCCAGCAAATGGCTGAGAATGTCATTATTTGCCAGGGTTAGTGTGAGAGGCTGCTGCCTCAAACAATACCTTTTGTGGCGCTCGCTCGTGGGCACGTGCGCGCAGACACGTGCGCGCTCCCCGTGCGCAGCTGAGTGCAAGGACCCCCAGGGACTCTGCCACGAGGGAGAATTATCTCGGAGAGTGAATAGCTTGTGGGCAACTTGCAGGAGCTGGCTTTTAGGGAAAAAATCTCAGAAAATCTGCAGCAGTATCGGAAATGAGGGCGGTGGAGGCTGGGGGAAGATCTGCTGCTTGCTTTGGACATGTCACCAGTGTCCTCCCTGTGTGGCATCGCAGTCCCCTCCCTCGGGGACCATCAGTGAAGGGAGCCTCTGTGCTACCAAGGCCATAGGGAATCCTGAGCGTTCCCGGGTGTTCCCGTCTGCCATCGTCCCAGCAGGTAGCTCTGCGTAAACCCCCACCTACCTGTGCCTCTGCAGCTTGGGAAAGAGAAAACCCAACTGCTGTTCAGGCTGCTGACAGAGCCATCTGTCTGTCTGCAGGACAGGGCTGACCTCTGCTTGCGTGGCCTGCATCCCAGAGTCGTGGTGCAGCCTTTCCTGTAAGCCTCTCTAATTGTTCAAACACCTCGTGCTGCACAAGCCTTGCTGCCAGTGGGTCGGTGAGCGGGGATTCCACACTGGGTTAGGATTTTGGTCTCATCTCTGGCAAAGCCTCTGCGTGCCCATCAGACACTGATCCTTTCCTCCTTTCTTCTTTAGGACTTGTGTTTCAAGAATTGGCTTTCTGGGCAGGTTCTGGACCTGGGGGTCCTGTCCCCTGTTTTGGACAGTCCCCCGTGCGAGGTAAGTGCTGTGTGTGTGATCAGGGACCACGAGTGGGCAGAGTAAAATCCTGTGCTGTGGTGCACTAGTCCCAGGATGATGCTGTTGGCATGAAGGCTTTGCAGAGACAAGCAGAAGTGATGTGGAAAGTGTCAGGGATTAGAGCAGCACTACCAGTGCCTTGTTTTTTCTGCAGGGATGAGCTGCAGGTGGCTACACCGAGAACTTAACCTTTGAGTGGAGGTGGCTTGCGAGGGGTGTGCTCGTGCAGGCCCACACGTGTGCTTGCCCTGCCCCAGTACAATGAAGATAAATGACTTTCTTGGGGAAGGGGGGGACGCAGAGTCTGTTTTACTTCTTTCCTTTGGCAGTGTGTCTGTCCGTTTCTTTCTCTTAAGCAGATGGAAAGGGTTTGTGTAACAGAGCACAACAGCATAAATGGGAAGAAAAGGAGGTTA